GAGATATGCTCCTTCCCTTTATTAGGATGCGCCGTAGCATAATTCCAAATTCAATCATATTTGTCTGCGGAACTCATTTCTCCACCGATCGTCGAGCGAGAACTAGACAAAAGTGTACAGTACCATTTGCAAAATTATTTAAACTGCCTCGTTAAAATTTAAGAATATTCTTTATTTGAAAGCATATTTAGCCAAAAATAATAACAAGTGGATTAACTCAACGTTCTACACACCTGTAAAACTTTTGCTTTGCTTTCTATTGTTAATTTACATACATTATTGTTTTAAGGAATTGCTAAACATTTTCGTCTAGTACTGTACAGTTCTAGCCGATCTTTTAAGAGCGCCCATAGAGAGCTCTGCTCGTTCAAGTTTGTTCCGACTATTTCTGTCTTGCGCCCGCCTAGTGTGTATTCTTTATATCTTCGCGCAGATTTCTTCAAGGTCACAATTCAAATAAATTGAAATGGGCTGTAACAGTTTATGCATTTACACCCATTTTGTTCCACTGACAAGCAACCACAAGACTTTCGCAGTCTTGATTTTGGTTTTGGTCTTGATCTACTTTTTAGGAAGGGGAAGATTGCAGATTTTTTATGGAAGACTCTATTTTATTGTAATAAAAATTTAAGGAACACTGGAAGACCTTACTGACTATCTGAGTCCACAGTAACTGTAGAAGACAGTAATATTTTCCACATGTTCACATCTTTACAAACATTGGTCGATTTTATTGCTAATTCATTTCGATTATTTTGAAGAATTTCTCACTCAATTTACCAACTTCAACACGAATTCAAAATGCTTAGAACATTTACTGCATTCTTGAATGTTCGCTCTCGCAAATGACCAAGAGAGTAATGTAAAATGTATATAATAAGAACAAATCGGCACAAGAACGTTAGATACACTATCAATATAATGACAAGAAAGGATAATAATCGNATTAATGTTGGAAAATTCAATTGAATTTCATATTTATTGATTTTCAAATAAGGATAATTCGAGAATCCTTGATGGATATGTAGTAAATAGAACACAGTAGGACCTCAATAATCCGAACAACCGAAATTTATACTGTGTTCGGATCTGTGGAGCGTTCGGATTTCAGTATCTAGATATTTTGAAAAGATTTTTTTGAAAAGAAACAAAGATTTTTGTAATCGAAGGTACAAAATAATCTAAATTATTAAGTATTTTAGGTGCTCACGTATCTATTATTACACTTTTTTTAAAAAAATTTAGTATGGAATTTGGGCAAGTATCATTAAGTGACCCTCAATTTACGCAATAGCAGTTTTCCTGGAATTAAATATATAGGCACTTCACTAGCCTATTCCAAGCAATGAATTAATGCAGACACAACTGAAGTATGTGGAATATTTGTTGCGGTTTGGATTCTTCCAATACATCTTCGTTTTCACGCGACGAACAAAAAATCGACGTGTAGCACCTAAAATGAATACCACAGTACTGCGAATTTATTTAATCACTGGGTGATAGCGTCTTAAAGACCGGGTGACCAGGACGGAGATGTCCTTCGAATTATAGAGGCGTTCCGATTAGCGGGGGTTCGGATTATCGAGGTTATTATTACTAGAGTTTAGTAAAATAGTGTGATTGAAGTAGCTTAAAGTAATAGAATAGTATCTGCAAAGTTTTAGAATTTATATATTTCTGGTTGAATAAAATAATGATACTTTTATTTATCAGTTTACATATTTTGCCGATTGGTCTTATAAAATTGTGTTTTATCAGTATTCAGTATTGTCTCTTTTTGGTTTCTGGAGAGGACCCTTTGCATTTTTACCTGACGATGCTTCTTAGGGCATTTGAAGTTCCGTTTTTCTTTAGAATCGCTACATTTTCTGCAGAAATCGCAAGGTCCTAATAAATGCAAATGCCAAGTCAAGGAAACATTTTAATAGTAGCTTGTCACAAAGGCAAGTGCTCCTTACACGGAGCGTCTGATAAGATTAAGGCAATTGAAAAGAGAATAATCGTGACGTATTAATAATTCATCAGGGCAACGAGATTCACGAGGAGGCTGCTTGTTGCAGTCCAAGCAGGCTGTGATTAATGGTCGATATCGATTTCGTCCTCTGAATAAAGGTGTTAATTTTAACCAGTTCAGGCCATTTATAATTCGAGAAGCAGTGCCACATGCACGAAGCCACTCGACAAATCAATTACGTAACCTCGGGGCTCTGCCTTGGCCCGCAAGCACTCAACTCGTTTTCTTTTTTTTTTTATTCGTTCTTTATTTCATTCTTTCTTTCTCGCTTGCTTGATTCTCGATGCTGTATCTACCACGTTTACTCAAAGATTCGCGTAAGGTCAGTGCCGCAAACGACATCAAAAAGACCGCTTTATATAACGGTTGAAAATATACGCCCATAATGTTAGTAACAGACGGGAATTAAAATAGATAAATGTACTGAACGATAACTGTATATATGGTATATAGGTACCTACTCTCTCGTTTGATTCTCCATACACCTCTATGTTATGTTGCCAATAAAGATCTAGATTAAGTTAACATTTGTAATTTGTTTCGGAAACTGCGAAAACGGAAAAATTATTACTTGCCAAAGGCGAGTAACTGTAACGCTGCGGATAACGCATGAAAGTACCCATGTCCATCAACAGTCATTTTAAAATCCTGTCGTTAAACAGGCGTTAGATTAAAGGAAACGTATACATAAATATCTATGTACGTAGTTGGTAGAATTTACGAAAATAAAATGAATGAGTTCTGCTTAAATTATTTATTGAATCCAGCGGTATCATTACGTGTATGATACCTAGTTATGGCAGAATCCGAGACTCACTAAGGCCTAGTTTTAGAAGTCGTTATATTGTAGAATAATTTTAAAAGAAATAGACGAAAGCATAAACAATATACTAATGAACAATTAAAGTTTGACAATGTGTTAATAATTCTGTAAAAATTTAAAATATTTATCGCGATAATTATTACACTGTATCCATAAATCTTTACGACAACGAACTATTAAAAAGAGATTTCAACATTTTTCTTGATGCCAGAAATAACAAAATTTTTTACAAATTACAATCGAAAAAGCATGATACAAAAGATACTGAAACTGCAAGACAGGTTTCTATGCATCGCATTATGCCATTTATGTGTTGTGATAGCCGATAGGTTAAGTTAAGCTTTGTACTTATATCGTCAATTTATAACGAAAACGAAGGCAAGTGGCGACGGCGTCGACAGCACCTCTTTGCAACTACAATACAACCAACAGCTGGGACACACCCTCCTTACTATGCAAATACCACGGATAACTGCGCTCTATGCATGCTCTCTCGTGGCCTGGCGCTTTCCTGCGATCGCTGTTGCAAATCTGCTGCTCCGCTTCCATAAGCAGATGATCCTGCCTCGTGGGTGTTTGTATATTACCACCTTTACGGAATATAAAGAGACTCGGGCTTAGAATTAACGATCCGTTTCCAAGAACGCGAGAAATCGAAAGGTTTTCGACTTTTATAGAACATAACAACTAAACTGGGGCGTATCACAGGGATCTATGATGCGGCCACTGTTGTTCTAACATCGTTTTACAGAACCCAACAGAATTAACGGTCTAGCTGTAAGATTTGTACGGACTTTTGTTATTATGGTTATCACCATTGGAGTTCACACGTCATTTCTGTTGTTTAACACTTTTTCTGGAATCTATCACAAAATCTACGATGTGGCGATCATTTTTATTTGTTGTTCTGCAGAACCTAACAAACGAAAACACTAAAATCCCTATGCACTTTTGTGTTGATTTGGGATCAAAATTACTTCCTTCTGTGAGAACTTGATCTGATTAATTCATTGTGTAATTTTGGAAAGTTGGTTCCACTTTACTAACTGAAAGAGCACTTCGCTGCAATAGTTACGCGTAGGCGAAGTCCCTTGTGAAATTTTTGGGTGCTAGTCAAGTGAAAAAGAGACATAAACATAAAAAATGGACGTACACATTACAAGAGATTTGCTGGGTGGAGGCACCTACTTGATCTGAGAACGTATGTTTTTCTCGTACTTGCATGCATCTAATGCAGTTCAAGTACCTAATGATGCTGTGGGTGTTTATAACAGGTTACGCCATTGTGTAAAGATTTACTTTTTCAAGTATAACTTAAACAATCGAATGATCTTTAAAGCCGTAACAGTAAACCCATTAAAACAAGAACATTTCGTCACATCCAACAGAAAGTTGAAGTTGATACTACCAGACTTTTTTACAAAATGGCCAAAACACAGGGGTTTACTCGTAACAATAACAGGAATATAAATTTAAGAAACTACAGAAATTGAGGTTAAAAAAGAAAAAAGTAGGGTTATCGTACATCAAGAAGGAAGCAGTGCAGCAGTGAAGAAATCCATCATTAAACCTTTGCTGACAATTCTTACACGTGTAATAAGTAGTTAATAATGCGCTGGTATGATTTGAGAAATGTTAGTGTCTTATCATGCCAATAATGACAGCAAGTTGTGAAAAGATAAATGAATGTAAGTGTTTGTAGTCGGTGAACTGTAGGCTGTTGATACGTTGTTGTTGGTGATTTAAATAATGTATGAAAAATGAGTGCATATACAAAATAAAATTTAGATCAGCGTGTGACACAGAAAATTTATATTAAGAACATAATCTTGGCAAGGACATCTAAAAGGATGAAGGTAGTGGTGATTGTAATTCTGCACGTGTTCCGCTGCTCAAGAAACATTGGTAATCTAAGCCGATATACGAAAAAATGCATAGCTGGGTGGTTTCAGATTCCTTAGCTTTTTATTCATATTGCTATGTACATCGTTATGCAATATGGAGCACAAGGTTCCGATCATATACCTACCTCTGCACTGTCTATAACGTTCGTTAAATACCAGTTTACACTACTAGGTACTTGTCACATTAACCCGCCTGTCTATGTTTGAAGTGTCAGCTTCATTAAATCTCTTCCTTTTCTAATGAGTATTGGATACATTGGTTAGGAATTGCAAATTAATTTATGGTATCGTTGCAAAAAGGGAATGAAAGTGAATAGACCTTCCTCACTGGTAACATTTTAAAAACGATGCTTACGGTGTTTTTGAGTTAAAAAGGTTCACTTGTTAGCAAAAAACTGATCAGAACGATAGCTATTATTTTCTTAGCTCCCATCAGTGAAAGTAGGTGCTCGAATTGGCAAAAAGTTGAGCATGACGATAAACAACTGTGGCACTTTGCTTCGTTGACAGTTAAAGAAGTTGCATTTGCATTCGAATACAAATTACTTTTACGAGTTCCAATTATACAAAACTTACGCTTCTTATACAGAGAAAGTTAACACGACATTTATCAAACTGACGCATTTCCTCGTTTTCATTCCAAAAAGTAATAAAATAATACTAACAAGAATTGTTTTTGTACTAAAACTGAACGACCGCCACATGTCTGTTTGAGACATCTCGTGCTGCCTTTCTCGCATTTTCCGGACTTTTGCAAAAGTTTCCTAGCCATTACAGCAATTCGCGATAGTACAATAATTTTAACTTACAAGTACGTACCTTACCAGATGTGTAAATGCTTCCTGTGTGTCGTGTTTGAAGTATAATGTTTTTATCACATTATCATTTTTTTGGAAAATAGGTTGCTGTTTGTTTGATGAAAATCAGGTATTATTAACGTCGTTACATTTTGAAGATATCTCATCGGAATCACCTTGCCGTGACTGTTTCTTTTGGTGATTGTTATTTTCACTCATTTCTTCATCTTTAGGTGATATCGAGGTTTCGGATGTTGTTGAAGATCGTGAGGATAGGTTGTCTTTGTCTGAACCATAAGATTTTCCTTCGACAGGAGACGTTGAATTCTGCGTTTGGTCAACGGAAGGCAGTTGAAGTTTTGACATTTCGTAAATTTTCTGCGGTATAGGAATAGGAAAGTTGGCTAAAGATCTCGACCCTTGCAATTGAGGTAATATTCTTCCGTCAGTAACCTTACCCATGAAAGACCTTATCTCTTCGAAGTACGAATCTTCACCCACATTTCTATTTGTTAAACTTCTTCGTTGAAGATTTCTTTCGTCCAAAATCGTCGGACCGTCTGCTTCGTGCTTCTTTAGGTGTCTGTCCAAATTAGTCTGTTGACCAAAGCAACGGTCACAGAGTGGACATTTAAACGGTTTCTCTTTGTTGTGGATGTTTCTGACGTGTCTTTGAAGATTGGAAGATATACTGAACGATCTCTCGCAGTATCTGCACTTATACGGTTGTTCACCCGTGTGTGTTCTCAGGTGACGTGTGAGATTAGCAGATCTGGGAAAAACTTTCCCGCAAAACTTGCATGCATATCTGTCTTTCATTTTATTGGCTGGTGTGTCTGGAAATGCTTTGGGTGGCGCTTGTGGAGGAGCTCTAAGCATATCGAAAGGAACTTGATTAACCGGAGGACTGAGTATGGACGGACTCAGAAACGGATACCTCTGAGGATATCCTGGAGGAGAATTCGGATACTGTAATGGCAGGTTATGAACTTTGTCTCTACGTTGAGCCTCATACATGGCCAACATCATAGGATGAATAGGTTGAGGAGGGAATAAAACCGGATAGCCAGGTATCTGAGGGTTAAACGGTTTAACCGCGTGGGAGTTTTTATTTTCGTTGCTTATGCTGTTACTCTGACTGCTAGAAGGGCTTGTTCGATCTCCCGTGCCATCTTCTTTATCACTTCCTACACTAGCAGACGGAGATATAAGATTTCTGTTTTCGTCTTCGACATGTCTTCTCATGATCATGAGCGATAATTTTTTATGTTCTACCCTGAGATCAAGAGGTTGATCGTCGCCCTCTTGTGGCCCAGGAGGAGGCCTACCTGCTGGAGACATGTGTGGACCTGGAGATCTGGTATTTCGGGACAGATCGAATGGCATGTCATCTCCAGGTGGTACCCGAATCGAAAGAGGATAGACGGCAGCTTGTTTTGGAGAACTATGACCACTTGTCGCCACCAACATCTTGCGAGGAGAGGAGTCTTTTTCGCGCATCGTGCAGGGTGGTGCGGGGAAGTACCGGAGCCACGGGAGGGCAGAATCCACAACGCTCATTCAGATAGTGGAAAAGACCTGTAACAAAAGAAAATTTTTATTAGAAATGCGTTTACTAAGAGTTAAGTTATATGCGATCAAAGGTATAAAGGTCCAAGAGATTTGGTAGATTTATCGTAAAACATTAAGGAAACCTCCGTGGTAACAGAAACAGCGATAAAATGTGAATGTCCATTTGTATGTTTCAGTAAAGGCGTCGGTGTTAATCCGTTTCGTGTGTCGTGGTCGCTAACGGGGCTTCCCATGTTTTCGAGCATCAAGATTTAGTGCGAAGTGAGTGAAATAGAGCTTCTTCCGACAAACATATCTCGCCGACGTGACATAAGAGCCGTAATGTCGCAGATAACGACACGCCGCGTACTACATCCATACGAAGATCTGAGACAGCGTTGAGTTTCGCGTTACTTGTTTGTTTCGGGCTGTTTACATGCCACACGAGATGGCGCGATGCGGACGAGACAATGGACGCACGGCCAGCTGCGAGGATTTATAAGCTGTTGGCAAATACCCAACGGAATTGTTTAGAATCTTTACACTATGTGCGCAATTGAAGATGAAGACAATAATAATATACACGAAGAAAATGGAAATTCTATCGGGTTCCGTAAGAGATACGAAGATACGAAGTCATAAAATGTGAAGAAAGGGGAGAACGTTTTTCATAAATCAAGAAGATCAGTAAGAATTTACGTTCTCGTTCAATTAAATTTATTGGCTATTGAATTTTCAAAAATTTTTCGAACATATTCTAGGCTGAATGCCAGGAAATAATCATTTGTGGGCACGTAACTATAAAAAATGAAAACTTTTCTTAATTTTTAAAAAGCCATCTCAGTATCATCCATCAATTCAATAATTTAAACAAAAGAGTTTCCCATACACACGTTCCAGTTACCATATAAAGATATACATATGACGTTATGTAAATGTAAGTTTATTGTTCATCTAAAAAACGAAGACCTTGATGAAGATGCATTAAAAAGATCACATCATTAATCAGTGCACGCGACGTGAGCAAATTTTTCAAGTTATCTGAGTACAAAATCGCTCTTCAAATGGTCAAAAGAATGTTTATAGCACGTCTTGACGTAAACGAAAGATTCTTTTACATTCCTTTATTCTATAAAATGTTGCAAACTACAATTATGGAATATGAAATATTCAACCAAAGATTTTTTCAGAGTAATGACCTATGAAAGGTATTAGAAGAGTTTAATTGATAAATGCTCTAGGCATAAATGTTTTTGGCTTTAAAGTAATCCTTTAAACCGCTTACTAAATCCAGCTAAATCGATCACTTTGCGCCATTTTTCGCTTTTATTATCCCATATTTAATCGATAATTGCAATTTACTATTTTTCCATTGTTAGATACCTCAGGCAATATGGAATTTATTTCAGTATCTGACGAAAAAGGTTTTAACTTCAACCTCAAACAGTTTAGAATATGCAATATCAAAAGACATTCCATTAGACAAATCTAATCCGTCAGATATTTGAGCCAATAAGGAGAAAATAACTTCATTAATTTTTTTAAGTTTCCGATGACGTCTATGACGCAGTATGCAACAGAAATAGAGAGTCAGTAGAGGAATGGGTGGTGCTGTAGACCTCGCCCAATAATATAAAAAAAAAAACAATTTGAAAAAAGTAACTCGATCTACCTTAAATTGCCTTGATTCTCTCCTTCCTGCGGCTTTGAAACGTGCGCTTGTAAGCAATTGTTTTGCGTAACGAGAATGGAAAAAAATTCCATACTTCGTTATTCATTAAACCATCTGAATTTTAATTATTTTTATTGTTATTTACTCTGATATTAAAGACCTTGATCTTACGAATGAAGCAAACAAAAGTTATTATTCGCGATCATGTGAAATTAATGATCTATGCACATTCATGAGTTAATAACAACTTCGATAACTTATTCATGTCGGACATTTTTTTTTCTACTCAATAATCATGGAAGAGAATTTTTCTAAATATACATTACATTCATGAACATTGCTGTACTAATAAGGTGTATTATGCTAAAAAGAAAACAGTGCAGGGAAAGATAAACTAAGAAGAAATCTTGCGTATAAGTGACGTACTGTAAATGTAAATGAACTAAGGGAAGCAGAACAATGAATAGAAACGTTGACGAGTTTACAAGTACTGGAGACATTAATGTGCAAATATCTTAACGGATCTCTCAAACTAAACGCATGTGGAAGTGATTTCATGTATTTACCATATTTGTTATAAATTTTGAAATCAATTTATTAGAAATTACTTCGGTATATTATTATTCATTAGGTAATTAAATTAGTAATCATAAGCGATTCGCATTGGTAGCTCCGTTATTTAATTAATTGGTATGTATGTACATACCAACTTGTGAAAATAATTTATAACCTCAAATACTGAAATTGCATAGCGACTGCGCAGAATTGAATGACGTCATTTGCTCTTACATGTCCATTAAAAAGTCACTAGGTCTACGATCTAAACTTTATACATCTATTTTTGAGTTCCTCTGCCCCACATAAAGGAGCCTGACCTTACCCCTCTCTCCATATTGTTACGTAACGGGTGCATTGTAGAAGTTTCAGTATTAGTTCAAAATTAAATAAATTCTACAATCGTTGGGTAACGTAAACAGTAACCCCGTCTCAGCCCTCATGTACTAACAATTTTTCACGTTATTTATTGTTCCTTTAGTTTGATTTTTTTTATAGAAGTAGGTATATGTATTTGGAATTAACAAGAAAATTTTTTCTTTCAGTGAAACTTACATCAACACCACGGAATTCAAAGTACAAGACAGCTTAATTTAGGGTGAGTAAAAAAATAATTGTTAAGTATGCTGTTGTTATTATTATTATTGTTCAATTAAATACCCTGTTGAGTACGCCAACGGATGACGAAATTTACAAAGGCGAATCCGAGATGTTATGACGCGCTTTGGAATCAAAGAGCGAAGGCAGTCTCGTTACAAATTGCAGCTTATTAGTCACAGTAAGCTTCACCTGTGGCCGAGTGATTAATAATGTTCGCGAATGAAGTGTTTATATCATCGCCGAGTGCAAACAACAAAGCAAACGGTACAAACGTAGTTGTTTGTGGGTACGATAGTAGTGTCGACCTGTTGAATACATACGTGTAACTACAACGGGCTGCTAATTAACACCAGCTTAACCGTTTTTCTTGCCGGTTGAACATCTGTTTTGCAAATTTACACTCCAGACAGTATTGTTCATAAACGTGTCTCCCATTATTCATACTCTGTCTGATCAGGTAACATGTGTTTGAAGAAGTGACACAGCGAAAACAACATTTCAAATTGTTTATCGAGAAACCGCCCAATATGATGATGCGAAAATCAGGAATACTTAATGCTTAGGGAATTATTGTTCGTTTCAAGAAGATGGAGTTATGCCCTTTCCCTTTATTAGGATGCGCCGTGGCATAATTCCAAATTCAATCATATTTGTCTGCGGAGCTCATTTCTTCACCGATCAGCGAGCGAGAGCTAGACAAAAGTGTACAGTAGCGTTTGCAAAATTATTTAAACTGCCTCGTTAAAATTTAAGAATATGCTTTATTTAAAAGCATATTTAGCCAAAAATAATAACAAGTGAATTAACTTAACGTTCTAGACCCCTATAAAACTTTTGCTTTGTTTTCTATTGTTAATTTATGTACATTTTTGTTTTAAGAAATTGCTAAACATTTCCGTCTAGTACTGTACAGTTCTAGCCAATCTTTTAAGAGCGCCCATAGAGAGCTCTGCTCGTTCAAGCTTGTTCCGACTATTTCTGTCTCGCTCACGCCTAGTGTGTATTCTTTCTATCTTCGCGCAGATTTCTTCAAGGTCACAATTCAAACAAGTTGAAATGGGCTGTAACAGTTTATGCATTTACACCCATTTTATTCCACTGACAAGCAAACACAAGACTTTCGCAGACTTTCAACACGAATTCAAAATGCTTAGAACATTTACTGCATTCTTGAATGTTCGCTCTCGCAAATGACCAAGAGAGTAATGTAAAATGTATATAATAAGAACAAATCGGCACAAGAACGTTAGATACACTATCAATATAATGACAAGAAAGGATAATAATCGATGGGGATTTGTAGCGTCCACAAGCCGTACTGTTGGTAAAAGTTGCTCGTGCGAAACCTGTCACACAATTTACCGTTAATTTGGGAAATAACCGTCAAGTACGTGTCCGTATCAGGAACAATAGGAAACTGTATTTCCTTCTGAGTCCATGCCCCGAAACCGTTGAACCCGTACACCTCACTCACGACCTGGCTTTACTCACTTTTCTAGCCTTTATCGTAGCAAATCAACCGAAAGCGTCAAATGAAACACTAAATCAATTCACTTAGCTAATCTAAAATTTCTAACAAATATGAGAAGCAGAGGAAGAACGTGAATAAGAGGCATTAAGTAATCTAAAAGCTTTCATTAGCAGTTGAGCTTTCAGTACACAGATACTGATTTATCTCATTATATTAGTAATAATAAATGTAAAACAAAAATACTGGTATGCAAGGGAAAAGTAGTAGGGAAAGAGCGGTAATATAAAGATAGGAGACAAATGATTAGAAGAAGCTGCTGATTTTAGGTGTCTAGGAAGTCAGATAAGTCAGGACGGAAGGAGTGGAAGGGATATAAATCAGAGGATAGCGCAGGATCGAGTCGTCTTCAATATAAAGAAGTCACTTCTATGCTAGCGAACGATTAATTTAGAATTTCGAAAAAGATTGTTGAAGGTGTATGTTTGGAGCGCTGTACTGTTCGAAATGTGGTATTACTGGCGAATGATAAGGATACCGTGAATAGAGAAGGTTAGAAATGAAAAGATATTAGAAAGAATAGGAGAACAGAGGACTCCATGGAAGTCAATAAGAAATAGGCAAGATAGATTGGTAGGACACCTTCTCAGGCAAGATCTAGTCAGAGGCAGAAACATGGGTTAAGAGGGGTAGAGGTAGACCTAGATTAGATGACGACCTTATGATGATGAC